ATTACTTATGCAGGATTAATCCAGTTCAATGAATGCATCTTGTGTTGATTAATAAAGCATTCCTGAATTGCAAAGTAAAACGAGAGGAGACTTCTGGTGCTGATATATTTGTGTATTTCTGAAGCTAGAGAGAAACGTGGGCTTGCAAGAGATGTGGTCAACCAGTGTAAACAGAAATTGAATACAAATAGTGATTTTCTAATTGTCTATTTTCTCCGTTCAGCAGCAAACTACTTTTGTCATTGATCCTTTCTGAAAGAACACAGGTACTATGTTACCTGCCACAATATTGAATGAGAACAGGGCATCTAACACGATTGTACAATGACTCCAATTAGCATCCAGATGACATCTGTAGTCTTTTCTAGCAAAGAAAAGCAAAACTTGAGCTACTTTCCGCTGATTTTCTTGCCACACAGAGTAGAAATTTTGGTCAAGTAGCATTAGCTTTTGTGATCTGCTGCCCTTGAATTTAATTGGGCTTAGAGGTGAACAGATACAGGGAACCTATTTAGAAAGTGAAAACAAGGGAAGGAGATTTAAACAAATGTAGCATTTTCCTAAATTTTTCTTCAGCATCCCCACACACAAAAAAATCAATTGAATTTATTTAAAGTGGTCTCATCACTTAATCTAAAAACCCGTTCTTCAGTTTGGAGAACTACCTTCAATCACAGCGGTGTTTTCAAAAGGAATATTTATTCATGGTTGAGGTATTTTGCAAAATACCTTTAAAATCTTTATGCTTTTACCTTTAAGAAATGGTTCCTCATGTCACCCTTAAACATCTTCCAGAAAACCACACTGGAAGGATCATGTTAAAGCTTGCTTAGTATCTTGGTATCTTGCGTGGTATTCAGTTCCTGATCCTTTGCAAACTCGTTTCCATTTTTGTTTGTGTTTGTGCAAAACAATTCAATTTTCAAAATACTTTGGCTAATCAAGAATATTTTGTAAGAATGGAGGAAGTGAATTTTAAACATGCTTCACTCTGAATAGCGAATACGGAGACTGATGATCCATTGCACAAACAGTAACAGAAAAAATTTTTGTTTCCTGTGGATTTAGGGGTTTTGAGAAAGGTGTATAAACATATACATACATATTTGCATCCAAAAAATGCCAAGTTCATAGGCCATAGCAAGGACTGCCGTGCCGTTGTTTTTGCTAAAACTGTAAACTCAGTAACAGCACTGAAACTTGGATGTTTTTCTTTAAAAGCCACCTCTTCAACTGCAAAGATGCCATTAGTCACAGCAGGGAACATAACCAGAAGGAGGATGTCTGTAACTATAGCGAGAGAGCACATTAAACTGTAGGTCAAAATCACGACTGACTGATTACCTTCAGGGTGAAAGTAAATCTTCAGACTTGCCGGAATGATAGGAAGCAGGACTGACTGGGGCTTGCCGAGGTTATCCCCTGCCTCCCCCACGCCACGGCAGGGTTGGCGATGCCCAGCGCACTCCCAGCAGATGTTTGCTGACTCGCCTAACCTTTGTAGCGATGTGTGATGGGATGTAGTCACCGTCATCATTAGAAAACACTTCCTAATATCTAGCTTAAATGTCTCATTAGTTTAAAGAGATGATCCCAGGAAGAACCTAAAAAGGAAAACAAATATTTTCAAAAAATTTAAGTCCATAATTAAATCATCTAAAACTTTCACAAGGAACAGAACCTTCAAAGCTGCTTTTCCTTCTGTTGCTCTCAGTGGATAAGAACTGTTTATTCCCACTCTTTTTGCAGCAGCTTTTTTTGCAAGCCCAAAGACTACCAGTCTTCACTTTTCTCAAGGCCTGTGACTCAGTCTCTCCTCCCTGACTACGGATTTTACATCTACCAGCAGCCTGATTTTTCACTTTTTAGCTGATCTCCAGCTGGCCCATGTCTTCCGCTGCGCAGTGCAGAGAAGACCAGAAGATTTATGTCCAACTTGCAGTAATGCAGTCCAGGGTTGCAATGGACGGAAGCTTTGCAAGGAGGTCTTTCCTTCATTAGTAAGCCTCCCTGTAACTTGCCCAGGTCAGAGCTGATCAGACAGATATTTTGGCACTGTTCAAGATGAAACATCCTCTTCTTAACAGCATTTCCACTGAAAATGAGGATGAAAGCCATAATCTGTCTGTGCAAGATTCAGGTACAGAGTTCAATCCAATAAACTTCAGTGAATGGAGTTTACATACAGGACTGCATAAAGATTAATTAACCTGCTGTAGGAAAGTGTGGCACTTTTATCAGTGGCTGGGCACTCAGAAAAAAATACTGTTGTATTTTAAGCTCTTTTGCTTCTTTTAGTGGAATAAAATGAAAGACATTTGTGAAGAATTATGTCTGGCACACCACCACCTCTTGTGAATTATTCTCCAAGCATTCACTTTTGCTGTGATATATTCCACTGGTTTCAAGAGCTACTGAGCACTGCCAGTACCTGAAATGAAAAGATACAACATTTCTCCAACAGTGGTCTATTTTGACTAGCACAAGGGTGTCACGCTCTGGATTCCCTCCGCTTGTTTTTAGACGGTGGCTCAAGCGAGAACAATTTTCATAGCTGTATGTATTCATGCTTCCGATCACAAAAACACCAGCTCTCCTGTTTGCCCTGTGAAAAATGTCATTGGACATCAACTTCAGTTGATTCCAGCGTAGTTACTTATTCCAAGCAGATTTACCATCTCTGTGTCCACCCCTGCCCCATAGTTCAGAGTTTAATCAGAAAACCTTTTGTTGCAGTCCGTGGCAATACTGGATGTGGTTACTGAGTCTTTGCATTCCGGGTTGCAGTAACACTCCCCATTCCTTTTACAGTGCCGGGGGAGAAAGGGTTGTAGCCCTGGCCTGCACAGTGAATTGTATACTAGACTCCATGTCTAGTCT